ATGTGAGAAATAGAAAATGCTCATCTGAAACCAGTCTTATTTTGTCAAAACAAACAAGCAATAGCCTCAAACCCTGCTCCTGACCTTCTTTTCCCAGAATACACTGTTATTACTTCAGTTTCTCAACAATAGTTCACTTCTAGTACAAAAGTTGTATTTCCAGTGACAACAGTACACTTGAACATGTGTACAGCAACTCCATTGAGCAGCATCGTGTAAGTAGCAGGTGTCTTAGCAACTGTAGCTAGAAAGTGCACACCTGTAAACACAAAAGCGCAAGTTTTGTTGGGAGAGTGATGCCTGGGTATGTCCCAGGGCGACATGTAGTTGCTCCTGCTGACAGATGCAGGACTTAGCACCATTTCGTTATGCTTTCTGTAACTAGGCTGCCACTCTGGTTCTACTGACTACCATGAAACTCTGATTCAGTGCACTTCCATAATGTGATCTTTATTTTGGTCCCTCTTAGAAATGAGCATTAGCTAGCAATGCATGCAGGAATTCAACCCCGAAGCTTTTACAACCTGTCTAGGTCTACAGATTGCATAACGTTAGCCTTCTCTGTGCTCTTTGAGGCTATAAAATTTCTTGAGCAGTATTTAATCACGTATATGTTTGGGTCTGTATAGGTAATGATAGCCAGAAAACAATGAACAGAAACATATGCTTCGTACTGGAATTTTTTCTATTGCATATTGTGGCAAAAATGGTGTTTTGGTGAACATACTGTACTGGTGATGAACTTTCATTTCATTAAATGAAATGCACCATATGGTGCAAAATGTTGCTGTTCTGCTTGCTTGTTTTGCATACACTGCTTACGCCCTCTTCTTTCTGATACTTTATGGTGGTGGGAAAGGTATTAAGTTGGTTAATATAAAATTTCTGATTTATAACTCCAGGTCTGCCTTGTGGTGGATAAATGTTTGCATCCATAAATAATTAAACTTACAGTTTTTGTTAGGAATGAATTGACTGACTATGTCTTAATATTTACATCTGTAACATTTGCAAGGACAAACACGAAGGCTGGGCTGGAGGTTGGCTGAAAATCTGGTCTTGCATATTCTATGAAAAATATTACTCAAATTTCTCACAGGTGAATAAACCGCATGCATGGATGAATCTAGTTAATTCAATGGTTTAATAAACCTAGAATCCCAATGAGGCTATAACAAATCCCCCTGGCACCTTGCAGTTATGAGAAAGAAGTATAAAATTATATGCAAGCAGAAGATTTCTTTCTAAATTTGAGGAGTCTTTTGCACATTATTTTTTTTGTCCTGTTCACTACATGAAATAACTTTTTATCTGTGGCTCAGTCATGATAAAGTATTAGATCAATTATTGTTTGAGGGCAATATCTAGCATCAGTTTGTGTCTGAATAGATATTTTTTTTTCTTTGGATAGTTTGTTTTTGAAACAGTTATACAGCACTAAGACAGATGCCTCTCTCTTAATGTCCCTTTGAGAAAGATGGCTAGCTTGAAGTGGAAGTTTCTGCAGCTCCCTTGTCAGGGAGCAGCACCCTCTCATAAGCTGCCCCATTTTCAGATGTTAAACACATGCGGATCCTGGATCAGAACCAATTCTCTAGTTAGAAACACAGGATTTGCAAGCTAACTAGGACTGACTGATTTAGCAAAACAACTGGAACTAATATAACTGCACACGTTTAATTATGAATGCTGTGCTTAAGGTCATTGTACTCAACTATAATCTAGACAACTAAGCAATGTGAAGCTTGGTCAGTTCTTGGATGCTAAACCTTCCAGGAAAGAAATACCATACAGAAAATAATAATAGTACGTTCCTTTAGCTGTGTTTTGATACAGAATCAAAATCCTAGGTTAGTGGTGGTATTGCTCATGTTATTTTTTCAGTATCATGTATGTGTTTGCTATTTCACAGGGATTCACAGAGACAGGATACCCACTCCAAGAAACCCAGAATATGTTGGAAGGGGTATATATTTTCAGGTGAAAAATAGAGCAGATACTGTGACTATATGTTCTCGTGGAAAGATCCTACCATAACTTCAGGAATCTGTTGTTTTTCACAGCTTCTGAAATGAGGAACAGGTTCTGCCTTCATTTTCCATACAACTAAATAAAAAAACAGGCAAAGCAATTCTGAGTGATGTAGGTCTCTTCTCTCAAAAGATGCACACATAATTTTACAAATATACTTGGAATACAGTAGCAAAAACTTATATTCAAAATTTTCAATTAGTGAAGTTCTCCAGAGTTCAGAGGAAAAAATAATGAAGCTGAAGAAAAGGATGATTGATAAGAAAACTTTCCACTGAATGTATTCCTGTATAAAACTAATTTTATTAATAGGTGAGGAAGGATAAAATGCATGAAATGGTAGCTGAATATGTGGAAAGCCATATACTCTGCCCTGGTTTAGAAGATGATCAGTATATGAAATTGGAATGGAGCTGAATTGATTGTGATCTGATATTCATTATACTTCAGCACAGCTGGCAGAATCCCTTCTAACCAAACGTGCATAACACGCTTTCTTAGCACTTTCACAAAGCCTTGAGTTTATAATGACAATTAAAGTGCATCTTTTCCAATAATTACACAATCTGAATTTGGTCTGTGCTAATAAGCTTTAAGCAAACTTAAATGCCACATTTTAATATCAGAAATCCACTTAATTATAGGTAATCTCCAGCTCTGCATGTCACCTGTATTAGCATTTATATTCCTCATTGAGCCTGCAATATAATTTTCTGTTTATTGTAGTGAACATCCCTCTACTATATACCTGCAATCTCATGTAGGCCACGGCTGGCAACCAGCCAAGCTCTTAATTTATCTTTGCCTTATCTTATGTAGCCCACTAAAAGAGAGTGCCAGCGTGAACAGCAAACGTTCTACGTGAAAGGCCAAGGTGACAGCCTGAACAAGCACCAGCTTGTCGTCTTCATCATCATCATCTTCACAGGACTCTTTTAGAAATGAAGACCTGATTTACCTACCCGTTCCTGGGGGCTGGGGACTGGCCTACAAAACCTGCTTCCTCAGCGGAAAAGAGCTCATCCAAGAAGGCAGTGCCCTAAATTCTGCTCTGTTCACCATTTGGAAGAGGCAGCCAGGTAGAATTTATTTCTCCCAGGAATTTTTCTTTTGCTGATTAATTGTTTTCCATACTAGGCTATTATGCTGGTAAAATATTTACAGCCATTATGATGAAAATTGCCAGGAAATGAATTCACGCAGTCTTGCTACTGTTTGATTTGATTGGGGTTTTTTTATTATTTTTTTCCCAAGACTTTGAAACACTGCTGTGGTTTTGGCTTGCCTCTCTATTCTTGCTATCCTGTTCTGTCACACTCAGTAATTGGCCTAATAAAAGGCAGAAACAAGAATTTATTACACCTTGGGCAATACTTGAAACAAACTTTATTTGCTGGAGCAGCACTTTTTATCTACTTGCTGCTGTATATTTTGACACTCCTTCTAAATATTAAATTTGACTTTATTAAAAGTTAAATCTTGGCTTTTTTTTGTGATTGCTGCTGCTTTTGCAATTTCTTAGGCGGACTAGTACATATATAAACATATCATTTTAATGAAGCTTTTGGAGAAACAATATAAACTGTGGCTATATCTACTTCATTACTCCCCGAATCCACAAAAATAGTATGAATTAAAGTCTAGCTTCTGTAATACCTTGTAAATTAGTCTTGGAATCATTTCTGTGATGAATTGAGAGAACAAAGATGAGAACTATTCAACTTTTCGTACCTTTTCCAAGCTTTGGATTTGATGAAATTTTCCTCAAACAAATGATAAGCTTTATGTTTAAAATTCTTTGCAAAAATAATGACAGTAGTAAAAATAAAACCGGGTTATATTGCTACGATATAATTTCCACTGTTGAATCTGGTTTTCTTCCACATACTAGGTCAGAAAATTATCAAATTTTTTTTTTGTTTTCTAAGAAGGCCTTAAGAAATAGCAATACGTCATCCTGGAACTGTTTATGCAGGAATTTTTATTCTTTGAAATCTTCCAGTGTTAAAGCAACAAGAAAACATTTAGAATGTCCTTTGGTGGAATCTTATTACACTCGTTATATATGTAAACTGATATTCTTTGATGCCAGCACGTTGCCCATACAGAGAAATCTCTGCACAATTAAATGAAAGGAAAAAGAAAAGGACTAAATAAAAAGTAATATTTTTCTCTTATCTGATTAGAATTAAATACATTAACAAATTGTCTGGTAACACAAATAGGCAATAATACAAAAAATCTACATTGTACATTATTTCAAGAAAAATAACTTCATTTGAATACAAAAGGATAAATACACTTTTTGTCCTATAGCCACTCTTGTACAGTAGGTGAACACAGCATCTTACTGATGCAGTGCTGCTAAGGTATACAAGGATATGACTGGCTTGAGTTTTATTGAGGGGGCTGTTACACATGTGCATCACTAACATCAGACAAAGAAATCTTTCAACCAACAAGGGTTACAGAGCAACGTTCACTAAAGCACAGGTTGGAAAGGATTCGGGGACTGAAGCAGGCCAATATGGCAGCTTTTACAGATTTCCTTATACCCACAATGCACTGACAGCAAAGAATGCCTTTATTTGGTCGGTCCACACACCGGGCGGAGGTACAGTAGTGCACCATATAGGAGTAGCAAGTGTTTTTGAAATTCTCTTCCCGTTCCGGGGGCTGCCAAAGCCGTTTCAGTCCTGTGTAAGCTTTGCAGCTCGCATTGATTTGACAGAATAGGCAGCTGCCAACTTGTCTCGAGTCAGAGGTGAACAGTCTTGACTCAGAGCCCTGTCCGTAACTGATTAATATGGCTTAGTTCAGTTAGGCCTTCCTAGTCTGTACGTGGTTATTCTGTCTCTTTTTTTTTTTCCTTTATGAATTTCAGCAGCAAACGCTTGGGTTGTGTGTTGTTTTCATGTGGCACGTTCATTTGAAGCAGTCTGAATGTGATGCCATCAGCCATGGGGGGTCTAGCACACGCAAAGCCCAGTGGCTCCCAGTAGAGCAGTCAGCAGTACGAGGGGCCCGTGTGACATTGCCCCCTGGGCGGAGTTTTGGCCACAGCCTCCTGGATCCCTTTCACACTTCAACTTCTCGCATAAAATGCCAGTGTAAGCTGGAGGGCACTGGCATCGCACGTTGTTGATGCACGTTCCTCCGTTCTGGCAATGCAGTAATTCATTGTCACATACGTTCGCTGCAAGATAGCGGGGTGGGGGAAGGAAAGAAAAGCAGAATAAATATAAGTTCGTCTGCAGGAGAAACTGCACTAAAACCAGAATTCAAACACTACCTCCCCCCTCTTCCCGAGACATGTGAACAGGGGATGTGCTTTTTTAATCAGATTGAATTTTTTTTTTAATTTTATTTGATATTTTCCCATCCTTTTTTTTTTTTAGGCGGTAGTCTTGGAGAACCATATCATTCACTTCAGACTATTGACTATGATAATATTAATTAATGAATTAATATGAATAATGATTAATAATGAAATAACATGAATATTAATACCTGCCTTGTGCCCGTGACTGCATTTTTATAGTTACTACTGAACTGGAACTGTAGATGGGTGTGTTATTATTTGAAAGGGGCAATGTATATAGAGATTTTGGAGAGCATGAGCAGCGGTTAAAAATGCAACACAGCTTTGCTGAAGTAAAAAGATCTGTATGAGAAGTGCTGGGTTTTATAATCAAGAACTGCATGTGTTAACGATCTGAAAAAATTACAGAAAAAAGATAAGGCAAGCAGAGGCAGGAAATTCAGCATGCTATTCGATGGGGATTATGTGGTATATACACATGGAAATAAAAGAGAATGTTGTTATTTCCATTACAGATCAAATATTTCTTCTTAATTAGATTTGCTACTTTGGTACAGGGTAACTGGCATCTGAGAACTATCTTAGTTGGATATTGTAGCCTGATTTAATAACTTCAGAAGTCCGATTTGACAAAGGAGTTAAGAGGAAATAATACAGGCAAAAGTTTTAGAGCTGCATAATATCTAACATATATTTGAAAAATTGACAGCTTTACTTTGTATTACTTAATATCCATTGAAATATTTCACTAGGTAAATATGTAGAGATATGAGGAACATACTACTTCAATGTGTCAATCTGTGTTTTATTCCAGATGATATCACTAGTAGAATATAGCCATAGGAGAATATTGTCACAGGAGAAGCAATTTTAATAACGATCTTGCACCTACTGTCTAGACAGAACATAACAGTAAACATTTTTGCTCAGAGAATTAGGGAAAAGATTATTTTGTTTAGAAGCAGACTCAACATTATATGCTGTTTACGCATACCTTAGCCTGGAAATACCCTAAATAATTCAGAATAGGAAAAATATTGTTAATTTTACTTTAAACATTGCTACTTATGCTACAAAAAAAGTACAGTATTATAAATGTTAATTTACTTATTTTTAAAAGCAACCCAAATACTATGAGAACTAAAATTGAAACAGTCCAAGTTCCTAAGTGATACAATTCACCATAAATCTGTACAATTTTGTGCACCAGCAGCCTTACTGGTAATCTTATCTGTCCTGGCTTGCTTTCAGAAAATAATTTTCTTGCTCTTGAAGGACTCTCTGACAACTGCTTTTTGATGTTCTGCATCCATGTGGGCCAAATAATAATGCAGTGTGTTAGAAACTCATAGATGTAATTGAGAGAGAACAGCTAAATAATTTTTTTTCAGTGATTCCTTTAGCAACCAAACGTTTTTACTAAAAGCTATGGATTTAACATTGTTGTCCAGTTTCTGAATTGTAATGTCAAAATTTGAATATTAAGATACAACAAAGAGCACTTATTGAGAACAGCCATATGTCTGAATGTTAATGTTCTATATATACATTAAAAAAATAGTGTTTATATGATGTACAGGGAACTGTAAACCACCACCAAAGTGATGAGATTAACAACACAGAAAAATATAATGATAACAGGCCAAAAAAATAAACTGTATTTTAAAATAGCTGTTTGTTATATCTCTTATAACTGAGGCTATGTATCTTTAAAGCTGTCTTTATTATTAATTTTGTATATATTTAGCTGTATCAATATGCAAACTCAAAATACTTTATCTGATGGTACAACTACTGAATCTGCTTGTGCTAATGAGTCATTGCTGGGATGCTTCCTACAGTTCAGGCAATGAAAATGGTGAAATAGCTGTCCCATCAATACTGACCATTGTTTCCCTTGAATAACTGAGTGAAATTTGATAGTTAATTAAATATCACTTCTTAAACAGCAGATGAGATCTTTCACTTCGTGTTTGGCCCGGAATATATTATCCAAATTTTCCCAAGTATTCAGTAAAACAAATTTATTTTCCAATAGCTTTCCTGTTCTTAACTTATTTTGACAACTATAGCCTGTTATTTTAAGAGGCCACCAGCCCAGATTCTGATCTGTAGTTATGGATTGCTGGAGATGGGTGGCTGAAGTGGTGTTTTGCTATATGCTGGCTGTTCTGTCTGACATACTGGTAACCGTCTGCTTATCAAATGCCTCTAATCATTGCTGTCTAGAAAATTCTGGATACGATGTTATAGACGCTGATTTTTAAATCAGACCATCTATTTCTCATTTGAAAGTTTTAGAAATGTACTTAAGGAAGGGGTGGATCAAAAGCTTCTCCTTCATTATTCTTGTGTGCTTTTAAGTTTGCCCACAGAAACGCATTAAAGTAAAACCAGGTAGATTTTAGCTTCCCAGAAAGCTACTATGTAGCTGAAAATTCTTGAATTGTTAATTTTGTATTGTCACAGCTTTCTTTTCCTTAGTTTCGTCCTTGTATCTCTTTCTCTTGCACACACACATGTACACACATATATGTATCATGTAGCTAGCAATTGTGGTAATTTGGAAGTTAAATGAAACAAATCTGAAATTGTTACGAAATCCCATTATTTAGTGTTTTCCCAATTTTTTAAAAAATTTTATTCTGACCGACTTTAATACCATTTCCACTTCCCTGAAAATATGGTCAGGATTACTTTTAAAACTTTAATAAACTAATTATGTTTATTCAGTTTAGGAATTGGATTAGCTACAGCTAATGAGCGTAGTGCATCAGCAGTATAAAGAAAAGTATTCACTGGAGCGCTTTCACTGGAATTTAAAACAAAATTTATACCTTAAACAGAAGTAGTCAACATGCTGCCAAGACCAAAGCAAGGCAAGTACATTAATTGCTGTTATGAAAATTAACAATGTTTTTAATGTTAACACAGCAGTTTGTTAGGATACATGTTATAACACGTTTTATTTTAGAGGTGGCTCTTAGAGGCTTTTCTCAGAGAAGGCTGTGATCTGGGAGCTGCTGAGCAAGGCAGGAAGGGCCAGCACCTTGCAGACCCCTTGATCTGTGCTGAAGCCCAAGGAGAGCTGCTGCAGTGGGTTCTGGGGGGTGCAGGTAGGGCTGGTGGAGCCCCAGCAAGTGCCTGGCCATTGGCCTTTTCATTTCCCCAAGTGGCAGGAGCAGTGAGCCTGACAATACGGGCTTTCCTGCCCATTGTACCCCTCCTACCTTCTCCTACCTACCCTGCCCTTGCCCCTTCTTGTTCTCCAAGCAGTGAAACGTTGCCTCCACTGCTGAGAGGTGTTGAACCAGCTCTGCCTTATCTTCATCATAAAAGTAATAATAGTGAAAAATTAGTTTGAATTGATCTGAAAGGCATCAGGGATCAAGTTCTGATCAAAGAATGAAACACAGAAAAGTGATGCAAGTAAAAGAACTAATTCTGAAGTAAGCACGCATGGCTATTGGGACTCGTGTGGTTGAACTAGCGGTGGGTTTGCTGGCAGACCTTCATTAACTAGAAGACAGGACATGAAATTGATTGTCTTAAGAAATAAAACAGAGATAGCTGATTTGCTCTGGAGAGCTTTGCAGGCCTTTTTGGGCAATATTTCTGAGCACGGTCTCCAGATCTGTACTACTGCAGGACATGAAATATTTAAAGTAAAATAAAGGAAATGTTTTAATGTTATTTTCATAATTCATCAATTTACAATCTAAGCTGTTGGATCCTTAAAACACTACATAAAGGAGACAGAAAAAAGCCATGTGTAAAAATGGATAGCTATTTGAAGCTCTTACATCCTCGGGGCAACCCCCCACTCCCCTCTCCAAACCAACAAACCCCTGCAATTAGTAAGAGATATTATTATTTTTTAATTAAAATGTAAACAGCTTTTCCAAAGTAATCATTAACAAAATATCAAGGCCTCTTTTATAGGATAAGACCTTTATGAATGATGATGAAAGATGCCTTACCACAAGTCACAAAATATTCTTGATTTGTAATTCCAACATTATTACATTTGCAAATGGAATAAAAAAGAAAAACAAGGGGAAAATATCCAATCATTCAACGAGCTCAAGCAATTCAAGGGGTAGGTGATGTGCTAGTGTTTCACAGAATTTATATTGGGTATTTAATGAAAGGTATTGAGAGTAGCATAGTTGTTTGACAAATGTCTACTTTCCTCTTAAATGTTCAAATTTGAATAATACATGAAAGTTTCTGAGTCTGTCCAAAACTCAACTTTAATGCCTTTGCAGCTTCTTGAAAGGAGACAGACAAGAGTGGCTGACTTTAGTTCTGAAGCAGCAATATAGACATGGTAACACAAATTCAAGTCTTGTTGTCTTTGATCTGCAGGGCTACTTCAGGCACAGCATTTTGCTGGTGGCTTATGTTCTTACTGGTTACCATGTCTGGGCAGTTGCAAAGCACATGCATAGGGCTTCTGGTGTGCCTACTGCTCAGACAAAAACCCAGTACGCTATTGGACTTAAACAATTTCTTTTAGCCTCCTGTCTTTCCCAGAGGCCATCCAAGAGGGGAGAAAATATGGTTTGTACCTTTCTTTACGCTATCTTAATTTTTGTACAGCTTGCCTGCAGTAGCATCTTATTCAGATGGGTCAGCCACATGAATGTAAGCAAGGACAGGCCATTGACTTAAAATAAGGAAATGAATGTATTCAAAAGAACACCTTTTTTTTTGATCTAGGATAGGTGGTATTCACTTTCTGCATCAAAATCTGGATTTATTATGAAATTTTCATTGTTTGTGGGAACACTATAAAGACCATTAATAATAAAGTTACAGAAAGTAAACTTTTTATTAGAGGTCCTTGCTTCCTTTCTTGAATTTGGAAGTTT